GACAACCACAGACCAAGGTTACCACACAAGACCATACAAACACACACACACACACACACACACAGAGAGAGAGAGAGAGGGGGGGGGGGGGGGGGGGGGGGGGGGGGGGGGGGAGGAAGGTACTACAAACACGGAGGCGGAAGGGGGAGAAGGCTGACGGAAGGCAAATCCCATCATATATCCCAGAAAAGACGGATGCACCACCCTACAGAAATGATATTAATCAGATGTTAATTAAGGCAGACAAAAAAAGGCAGATTGTCAGCACAATGGAGGGGCAATTTATCTCAGCTTTTCAAGGCGGAAGTGGATAGTGTACTGCGTGAAGGACAGCTGCGGGGGGGGGAGGGGGGAAGGTATTACAAACACGGAGGCGGAAGGGGGAGAAGGCTGACGGAAGGCAAGTCCCATCATATATCCCATGAAAGACGGATGCACCACCCTCCAGAAATGATATTAATCAGATGTTAATTAAGGCAGAAAAAAAAAGGCAGATTGTCAGCACAATGGAGGGGCAATTTATCTCAGCTTTTCAAGGCGGAAGTGGATAGTGTACTGCGTGAAGGACAGCTTTGTTGCGGGCATTGGACACAAATAAATAATGTAAATCGAACTTGCACTCTTGCGATGCTTTGGCGAACTGCTTGAAAATGAGGTTTTCATGTGTGTGTATCTGGCTCGTTTGTGGGAAGAAAATAAACAGGTTCATTTCGTTCCTCCCTCCCCCCCCTCTCCCCTCCCCTCCCCCCCCTCTCTTATACACGGAAGGACTTGAGTAAATTCACTGTGGTCTTAGTCTGTCTGTGCTGTAGTTGTGACTCAGTCAAGTGGGAGCTTGTGCTCTCAAGTGTACTTAATTACCCCTTTGGGCATTTAGTGGCCGCAATTTCCGCATTTCTTGAACCGAAATCGTTAGGCCTTGCCAGGTTCCCACCAGTAAGGCCTCTGACGATTTTGGTTCACAAAATGCAGAAATTGCGGTCAGGAACGTCAAAGTTAGATGTCCAAAGGGGTACTGAGCAGAAAAGTTGAAATTAATGGGGAACCAAGAATTTGCTGATGCAAGAAGATTGGTGAGTTGGTCTCAAATCGATTATGCCATGCGTGCCGTGTGTTTGTCCTTTATTCTCTCTTGATGTATCTTGGCCTGTTTATACTGCCATTGTGACTTCATCAAACCCGAGCCTATGCTCGTATTGAGACTTAATTAAGCGGGATGAAAGGATTCACGCTACAAGACACCCAGTCCCAGTCCCAGGGTCCCAACAAGTCCCAAGTCCCAGGGACGTCCTGTAGGGTAGGCCGGAGGGGCTAGAGGCCAAAGTGTCGTAGGTCGGTAGGTGTGGGTACTGAAGCATTGCAGGTCGGTAGGAGTTTGTCAGTACCCGAAGTCCAGATGCGTCCAGTCCAGTCCGACAGTCCCAAGTCCAATTTTGCACCATGTCCCAGGAAAGTCCGGAAGCGACCGGACCGACCAAATGTTTGCAGCAGACAGGCCGCGGCTGACCGGTACCGGTCTGAAGCAGGCCAAGCCAAGCGAAGCCAAGTCCTATATTTAGCTGCTACAGTGCAGCGGCTCCGGACCGACCAAATGTTTGCAGTAGACAGGCTGTGGCCGACCAGTACCGGTCTGAAGCAGGCCAAGCCAAGCGAAGCCAAGTCCTATATTTAGCTGCTACAGTGCAGCGGCTCATCACTTGTTCAGTTGCGAGATGCGGAAGCGCTGCCACTGCTTGTGCGTTAAGGCAACTTGGCACCGTGCACCCGAAGAAGAAGAGGGCGCTTGAGAGAGACTCCATAGCTAGGCTAGCGGTAGAGAAGGAGGACGGCGACCATAGCTGCCAAGTTGTAAGCTACCTAAGTGCGTGTATCCAGGATAACGATCCAGGGTAAAGAAGCGAGAGAGTAAGGCAGAGCGAGTCAAGTCAGAGAGAGAGAGAAGGAGAGAGAAGCCATAGCCGCTATCTGGTTGAGATCCTTTGTGTGTGTGTGTGTGGCAGAGCCGCTGGAGACAAACATTCCTGCACATCGATAATAATATTGGAGACGACATCTTCAAGTGTTGACTGTATCTCGATTTGGCTTCTGACGTGTGAACTCTCATGTGAAGGTTCATGGATGTATGCGAGGTTGAACTTGACAAGTACTTGGCTCATTTCAGGGAAGCCTCGGATTAGTAAGGACAAGAGGATCGGCTGATGCTGGAAGAGTACTGAGTTGGTTCAAATTGATTTTGGCAGTGCGTGTTGCGTTTGTTTCCCCAAAAACTCATTTGTCCCCATGGCAACACATACCCAATAAAAGCTGTTACAATCATTAATAATAAAATGACCACTCCAAGACACCACACTAATTCTCGTGGACTGGCATAACTCCCATAATAAAGACCACGAAAAATATGAAGATAAACCACAATAAAGAATAGAGTGAAACTTTCACACCCTTGGTGATTACTCTATCTACAATTTCATTACGCCTACACCTAAGGGTTTAAGCTTGCTGTATCAATTTACTCGCTGACCCATTATGCAAAAGGTACGCCGTTCACCTTTGCAGATCCATCATCCATTGATTGATGATGCATCTTTCAGCCTTCGACTGATTGCTTGCATCGGGTTTCAGGTTTTCTATTTCACTCCCTTTCTTAGGGTTCTTTTCACCTTTCCCTCACGGTACTTGTACACTATCGGTCACTGAGAAATACTTAGGCTTAGAGGGTGGTCTTTTGAGTTCTTGGTGCTTCTCTTCCCTGTCTCTTCCTTGCACATGATGACGATATGCTTTGCTGTGTTATTAATCCCGAACTATTCTCTGCCGTGTTATGAAGGCAGAACTATTCTCTGAGGTTAAAAACGACGAGACAAAAGAAAGGTACCGAGAGCTTGGAGAGGAAACACAGCATGCATTGCCAAAATCAATTTTTTTTAGGGGACCCCAGGCAATCCTCATCCTTGTTTCCTTGATAATCTATAAGGCTTTCGGCTTCAGTGAGTCGCAATGAGATGGTATGTTTTGGCTTAACAACACCTCCATGATTAGTTTTGGCTCAACAACATGGCAGAGAACAGTTCTGGCTTAATAACACGGCAGAGGAAATCTTTGCTGTGTTATTTTATTCAGAGAACAGAAGGGGTTTAGCATTTAACATTACTGTGTAATGTGACAGAACTGGACTTTACCACTCAATTTCGAAAAAGGAAGGAAGGTCTGGGGGAGGGGTAGGATGACTGACAATTTGATTGAAATACGAAACAGGAATCGAGTTTCAGATGAAGATGTGATTTGGAATCTGAATTCCTGTTTGTATATCATCGTTCCTCTAGCAGCAAGGCACGAGATTGTCGTCATCATTCTGAAAGGATCTCTCCTAGCGCAAAACCTTTTTGCTGTTGTTGCTTCTTCCGTTGTTCTGAATGGATCTCCTAACCCAATCCTTTTGCTGATGCTGCTTGCATGCCGGTCTTATTGGCTATCATATATCAAATTGAGCCTTGAGGGAGGTTGTGTGATGAAGTGAAATGTCACTAATAGTGATGACAATGGTCATGTTGATGGAGATGTGTGCACGCCTCCCAGCGAGTGATGGATGGCACTTTTGGTGTGGAAAAGTGCAGGCGGAGTCTGGGGCGCCGGGGGCTGGCACAGGAGGCAAAACTGATGAGAGGTTAGCGAGTAATGTTGAAAGGGTGGCTGATGATGCTGGCCCTTCATCAAGCTCATCGTCAGTGCAAGCACCACAAGCGTCAACTTCAGGGCCCTCCAATGCATCTGCAGAGACCCAAAATCCGACAGGAGTCAGGGCGACAGATACTTCAAGAGTTGCTCGATTCAAGAAAGAGCTGGGGGCTGCTATGGTTGATCTTGGTAAGGCTTCTTCTATGTGGCCGAGATCCCACTAGCATAGATTAAGGGCATAGTCACACTAGGTAGGACTTCGCGGACTGAATCTGGCTGTAGTTGAGGTAAGATAACATCCTCGCAAACCGTAGTGTGAGTATGCCCTCAAGAGATACTGACCTTTGATCTTCGCTATCTATGCGTAGCACGTCTTTGGCCGTGGTACTGTAGTCTCGGCCTTTCTGTTTGACTGATGACCCGTGTTGTCTGCTTGCCTCATATTGTGCTAATGAGCATTGGAGCAGTCCAGCCCCGCCCCCCTTTCACTTCTCCTTTGTGGTCGCTCCTTCCTCGTCGCGGTTCTCTCACCCCTTCACCCCTTGCTGAGAGCACTCTTGCTAATCTGCCCTTCAGCTGCATTTAATCCACCAGTACCTCGCCCAGGCAAGCGTGGGAATTGAAATTGTGCCCCTTTCACTTCTCCTTTGCGGTCGCTCCTTCGTCTGCGAACGACCAGTGCCACTGGACCAAAATGGCTGGCTGCGGCCAGCCAGAAAAGAAAAAATGTGCTACTGGCGTTTTCTCTTTTTTTTGGAACGCGGTGCCAGTCTTTTCGCAAAAAGGAAGGTTCGGTGGTACTGGTGGTTTAAGGGCGTAGTATTCCGAAAGAAGGTGAAGGTACAAATTTGCATTCGGCCGTTGAATTGTGATACCTGTATGATGTTGACAATCTTATGATTGTGGCTTTTCCCGTTCACAAATACATAACATAGTTGTGGTACTTTTGTCCCCCCCCCATCCCCACGTCCCAACCTTCCGTCTGATTGTGTTGGCACGTCGGCATCGTGTGCCCGTTAGCATGTGACTTTGTAGTAGCTGTATGTTATCGGCAATCATACAACTGTAGCGTTGCCCTTTGACAAATATGGAACATATATTTCAGCCTCCTGACGAGTCGGTGAAACTCGGACGGAACAGTCTGTCACAACCGTTCATTTGCTGTCCTCTTCTCCTGCTCTGCCTACGGTCTACCGGGCAGTTCTGTTTTACTATTTTACAATATATTTGTGGGATTTGTTTTGTTCCCCACTCCCACTCCCACTCCCACTCCCACTCCCTCTCCCTCTCCCACTCCCACTCCCACTCCCACTCACCCCTATCCCGTGGTCTGCTTGTTTTACATCCTGGCATGATGTGCCTGTGGGCATGTGTTTGCTTCCGCTTCATATCTCAAGCCCTGGGGTGAATCTCATCGGTGGGCCACCCATGGCCCATTATTGTTGTTTTAGTGCAGAACGTTGGGCATGATGGTCTTGGTGGTCTGATTTGAACAGTTGCAAGCAAATGTTGCCGGATTTTGTAACATGATGATTATGATCGGGGCGACGGAAGTTGTTTGTAGCCCGTAGTTATTTTTACACCCCAGGCAGGGCTTTTCAACATTGGGTCCAGTGGTTGTTCGTAGGACCAAAGTGGTAGTGCGAAGGGTGTGCAAGTTTTTTTGGCAGGGGGTGGAGGAGGGGCATGGAGCAGTTGTGGGGCGGAGGACCAGTCGAAGTGTATCATGGCATTTCAGGCGACTGGTACCCGTTAAAAAATGAAAGGTTGCAACGGGGCGAGGCCTGGCCCGCATGTTGTTTCACCTGTGGCAGTGAGGCCCAGTCCCGTGAAAAGAGAGCGTGCCTGCTTCGACGATTTTTCGCGCATAGAATATTTATTGAAACAAACTGAAAAAATCAGGGTCACAGATTGAGTACTGATCTTTGGGAGAAAAATATTAAAAAAATGAAACAAAAATTTGTCAAAAAATCCTTGATTGCTAAACAAATGTAGGCGGCAAGAGAACACAATTTTGTCGCCCTGCTGCTACGAGTAGGCCATTGTGTTGGTTTGGTCTGCCCAAAAAAGAAGTGTCAGTCTGTTAAAATAGTGTTGCGGTATAAGCACATGGCCTGGCAGCATGCTCTGTGTGTGTGTGTGTGTGTGTGTGTGTGTGTGTGTGTGTGTGTGTGTGTGTGTGTGTGTGTGTGTGTGTGTGTGTGTGTGTGTTGTCATGCTCACTATACACAACTCCCAAAAAGCAGGACTGTGTCAGACTGTTTCTTTGGACTCTCACGTACTCATCAGGACGTTGACCCCCGACAGTCTGCTCAGGCTGCATTTGACTGATGGATAAGGACTCACCATGTCGCCCAGAGTTAGTGATACCCTTGAGAAAAGTGATCGACTTTCCTCACACTGACCATGCAATCCTAGTAGACTGTCAATCCAAACCGCTGACAAAGTCTGAGAAACTAATCTATTGCAGCCATAACACCTGCTTCAGACACCGGCTGAGCCATGGATACCCAATTTGTGTGTGTGTGTGTGTGTGTGTGTGTGTGTGTGTGTGTGTGTGTGTGTGTGTGTGTGTGTG